TGTCTTCTGGTAATATATTAATGGCTCTTTACCTAAACTGTGTGTGTTATTCCGCCTGTATGTTTTTTTATGTGTATTTTTCTAAACAAAAATACCAACTCAAATCTTTACTCCCTCCTTTCTCCAGCCTCCCTGCTCCAAATCTAGTGTATTTTTCTGGTCTTTGGTCAATCTGGTTTAATAGGTTACCTGTTGCTGACACTCTCATTTCACATAGAAGTGGAGCTCTCTGCTCTGACATGTTTTCTGGAAGCAGAAGGGTATGAGGTTGTAACCCTCATACCCTTAGTAAATTTAGGAAGTAATAGCTCCCCAAAAGCAATGCAGATAGCTGTAGATATTGCCAGAGAAGAAGAACAGTTAATTGAAACTATTTGGAGCATGCAGTATTGAACAAGGAGATGGTTTCTGAGCAACACATATCTAAACATGGCTTGCCAGAGACCTGCACACATTTAATTTGCTCTACAAATTTGGTTAGCCAAATAAAGTGTAAACATCAAACACTAGTCGTGGAAGAACATTAAACATTAACCAACTGAAACCTTCAAGACTTGGGCAGAACATTAAAATTAGAGGAGAATGATAGGCCAGGCAACTCTGGGAAATTAGGTTAAGACTCTGAAAGAGAATGTTTGTTGGCCGAATAAAAATAAAGCGAAAACTATTTTGAGATTGGTAACCATTTGTCTTCACAGACAGGCCACTTTCCTCGTGGGATTACATTTTTAAAATCAAGCAAACATACTAGAGTCAATTAGATTTTCTGTTGTTCTCCAGAATGAAATGTGTTACCACCCAAATTAACCCTGAAAAGGGGGATTTCGGTTGCCATTCCCAGATCCACAAGCGCTTAGATGGAGCCGGGCCTTCTTTCCATTTTTCGTGTTTGTGTGTGTCCCACGCTGCTTAGCCTGGGGCTCAGACCCCTTTAAGGCTCAATCAACTTTTGTGGCACACAGAATGAAAAGGTCCTCTGAGAAGGTAAGGGGACCACTCCCAGGCTCACTCATTCGGACTTCCTCCTCGCCAGACAAAAACTGGCCTGTACTTCCCTTCTCAGCAAAGCAATAAGCGCTTCCTTCAGAATAGTTAGATGCAAGAAAAGGAAAATAATGTCTTATTCAAGTCTTTATTCCCTAACTATCTTTTGCCCCAGTAGGCCTCACAAAGTAAATCTCTGGAAAGTAAGAGCAGTTTTCGCCCAGGAGAATATTTGGTACATTATTTTTTTAACATCTAGTGACGTTCCGGGATGTAGTGGTGACAGCGCTCCACAACTGCACAGACTCATGAAGAGGTGGAGGTAAACGTAAGTTAAGCCAGTGCTGGACCAGTGGTTAACTCCTAAGACAATTTAAGTAAGGCTACGTATCTTCCTAAGATACAAAATATCCCCTAATGATAGAATAGAGGAACCTCTAGGGCCCCTGACTTAAGATGAGTTCCCCCAGAAATGACCTTTAGACAGGGAGTTTCTTTTTTGTTCTTTGCCCAGGTTAGGATGTAGTGGTACGATCTTGGCCTCGACCTCCTGGGCTCATGCAATACTCCTGTCTCAGCCTCACAAGTAGCTGGGATGGCAGACATATGCCTGGATATTTTTTCCATTTTTTAATAGAGGCCAGGTCTCTCTATATTGCTTAGGCAAGTCTCAAACTTTTGGCCTGAAGTGATGCTCCCACCTCGGCCTCCCAAAGTGCTGGGATTACAGCTCACTGCTTTCCAAATGCTCTCATCCTAGGGTATTCCTAAGCTTCCCGCAAGAATTCAGCAAGTCAACAAGAATAAATTTAAGTAATTAGTCTGATTTGGGATGGCTTCCCTTCATTCATCTCAGTGAACTCCCTTTAATTTAGGGGAACCTAAAAATCAAAAAATAATTGCTGACTTACTATTCATTTACTGTGCCCTTACTCTGCGTTGGGCACTGCACTAATGCCTTATCTGAGTTATTGCATTTATTCCTCACACCGGCCTTCCACATTACTTGCTATTAGCTTCCTCTTTTATAGATATGAAACTGAGGTTCAGAGAGATAGCAGAACTTTTCCAAGATCAAGTTAAAGCTAGTAAGCGGGAGAACTGAAATTCAAATCTCGACTGCCTGATTCCGGGAACAATGCGCTCATCCTCGGCGCTACACTGCCCAAGTCTTGAATCCTAGTGCTGGAAAAGTCCTTATTTTCATTTAGATATTCCCTATTAGATGAGACAAATATGGGCTCTTAACTACTGTAAGCAACTTTTTTCTTTTAAATGTATTTGAGCAAACTTAACTTCCTAGGAATTTCTGAGAACAGAGTTGAAGTTCCAAAACAAATTCTTCCCAGAACAAGCCTGTTTAATACGAAGAATTAAAACGGAGATTATGAAATTGCCTACAGTATTTGATTCGAATTTTGTAAATACTTTTTAAACTTTTAGTAAGCATATGCTTGTAAAAATATATTTTCAAAAAACATTATATTATATATGCGAGTTTACAACCCTGACACTTTTTTAAAAATTTGCCATGACTTTACAAATATGCAATCTCTATAATATTCAACATGAAGAAAATTCCAGAAAGGAATACATTAAAAGTCAAAATGTGATCTCTGCCTTTTCAGATCTAAAAAAGGGCAAGTGTTACATGGTTATCAGAAAAAAACAATGAACATTAATATTTGTTCATTCATCATGAGTCAGGGACAGGGCTGGCTTTTTACATGTGTTTTCCTGACTAATGCCCACAACAAGCCTTAGATGTAGCTATTATTTTGTACTATTTATAAATAAGGAAGCAAGTTTTAGAAAAATTAAGGGACTGTCCCAGGATCATACAGCTGAACAGTGGCAAAAGTAGGATTTCAGTTCTGTTTTACTCTCAGCTAAGAGGTCTTTGCACTACAACACAACCTCTCATACCAACTATTTATGCTGGCATCCATATATGCCTCTGTGACAAGATTATTTACTGAGACAGTGACATAATTTTTTCCTGATATCAAAGGAGATTAGAAGAAAGGTATTTTCCTCTCCCTAAATCAAAACTGTGGAGAGGTACACACCTGAGACAGGAGAGATTTGTAGGGTGGAGGTGATCCACAAGTGGGGAAGACCTGAGCTTGCAGGAACTGGGTATGGATGCTGGGCTCCCAGGGAAGCCCCCACCCCAGGCCTTTGGCCCAAAGATCCTGCTGCCTCAGCTTAGCACATGGTGAGCAAGGCCACCTACATGTAGAATAAGGTACCCTAAAATTACTCACAGCATGACTTGAAAATCTCCAATCTAAAGAATTAAAACAATGACCTTTTATCAGGTCAGGGCGCAGACTTAGCAATAAAGGAGTTTGCTCAGACACAGGCACAACTTCCGCCTTGAAGTACTGAACTCACTGGTCCCATGCTAGAGAATTGATCCCCATTGGCAGGGACAGAATGGGATGCAAAAGGTAGCAGGTACTCCAACAGTGACTTGGTGGGGTGTCTTTCAGAAGCTTTTCCTGCGGCAGTACAGCTGCCCTTTAGATTGGCAAGAGTCGACCACCAACCCGAAGGACGCCCAGATTCCATCAAGCCTGTGGGCCACATCCATTGCAACACGAGCCACTTTTCAATCCCATCAGCTCCTTCTCTTCTAGCTGTGGCTTTTATCATGGGCCCCACTTCAATCATGAGCAATAAATAGGAAATACATAAAAGCCCCAAAATAAAGGTCCTCTTCTCATTTAAAACATTCAGATTTCATTACTTGTGCTGTGGCTAACATCAAGTCACAAAGTAGCAGGGCAGTCCCCCAAGCCCGTTCTGCTTCCAAGCTTGTTAAACTTTGGAATGGGTTTGTCTTTTGGGTGTGCATGTGTTTTAAAGCTGTTTTATGACACATTGTCAGGAACTCAGGTACTGGACCTCTTTAGCTCTAGCTTTCAGCAGCTGCCTTTGCACTTCCCTTTCACATAATTAAACACCCCGTGGTACTTAACAGAGTAATAAGTAGCACATCAATAAAGCAATAAATAATTGTATTCAGGCAAACTCCAGAGCCATCATCCATTAACCAGCCCTGTGAGCAATGCTTTTGATTAATCAATGAGCTTATATAATAGGAAAGCAAAAGTCAGTCCAGGCTCAGGCAAGAATCAACCAGACTTCCAAGCCATGAAGAAGTCTTATCGCTGAAGTAACTTGCAGGGAGACTATCAATTGGAAGTGTGAACTCGGAGAGTAACTGAAGCAGCAGGAAGTCCCTCCTCCAGAAACTAGTTAAAAACAAAGAAGCAGGATGATCTGGCTGAGTCAGGAGGGCTGCCTACTGAGAATATGGAGTAAAGGGCCTGTAAAAGCAAAATGTTCTGACTTCAGAGAACAAATACTTGCAACTGAGCTGAAGAGCAAAGGAGGATCAGGATGGACCTCAAACTCCATCCATGAGTTCGAGAGAAACTTCTGCAGATGCTGTCTGGGAGGAGTGCTTATTCAGCCTCCCACCGAGAAGGGAACTATATAGGAATGTTGTAATTAAGACCGCGGCTCTGTGGGCCAGCGCCAGCACAGGGCTGGGTGACTGTGCTTACAGCCCTCAGGATCACCTGTGGAGCTTTTTATTTTTTATTTTTTTAGGTGGACGGGAAGGAGAATTTATTGGTGAATATTAAGAGGGGCCACACAGTGGAAGCCTGCATGAGTGCAAGGCCCGCAACTTGTCCAGAGGGCCACGATTGGGGATGTACTTAACCCCAGAGCCATCTGGGATGAGCCGCTTCTCAGCCACCATGTCTTCAAATTCATCGGCATTGAACTTGATCTTCTGGCGGCCAGGGAACTTGAACTCAGCCCTCTGCAGGGCCTCCATCACATGCTCCTTATTCTGCAGCTTGGTGTGGATGTACATGAAAACTTGGCCAATGTGAACCCTGGCCACAGTGCCCTGGGGCTTTACAAAGGCACATCACAAACCTGTTCGGAGCCTACATTGGGGTAGTGCAAGGTCAGAGACATCAACATACATCTGAAAAGCTTGTCTCCAAGGTCCCTTAGAGCAACCCATATAAGAAACAGGCTGCATTACACTACCAAGGAAGCTGCTATTTGCAGCCATTGCACACACTGGGCCCCCATGGAGCTTTTTAGTCTTAACAATAGCGTGCCTGGATCTCACAAACCCAAATCTCTGGAGCCAGGGCCCAGGAATCTGTATTTCTAATGGGCTCCCCAGGTGGTTCCACTGCACAGCCAATGTGGAGAACCCCTGGTCTGTTGACAATAATGGAGGACCTCTATCAACCTAGCCAGCTGGAACAGCCTACCCATATGTGGCCACAAGGCTGCTGTCAAGGTCCTCAGCTTGTCACTTGAAACAGATCTAGGACAGTCCAGGTTTGTAAATACGCCATGAGTCTGTTTGTACCAGTAGTCACTAGATTCAGAAGAGATGCCCGCGGTGCACCTAATCAGCTTGTGTCCAGGTTTCTGTGGGGTAACATGTTCCCCAAGGGAGTCAAAGAAAACTAGCCCAATAGCAGCCATGTTGAGAAGCATTCATTCCATCCTCAAAATACTGAGGGCCTACTATGTGCCAGGCACTCTTTTAAACACTGGGGATTCATCAGGAATGAAAACAAAGCTCTCTGCTCAGAAGGAGCTTCATTCCAGTAGGACCCCAGAGATTCTTCTGAGTGTCTCAGGACACAGGAAGATGGGAACTGAGCCAATAGAGGTTTGCACACTCCAACTGCACTTCAACAAGACAGCACGTTTTTGTTTTAGAAATTCTAAGCACATGGGAAAGTAGAGTGTGGTATAATGAATACCCACCATGTACCTCTCACCTAGTTTCCACAATTACCAATTCATGACCAATCTCCTTTCACACCCATTTCACCCTCATTACCCAGATTATTTTGAAGCAAAACCCAGACATCATATTGTTTTATCTGCAATATTGTCAGCATGTATATCTAAGACATAGATAATCTTTTAAAAAAATAATCACCACATACCCTTATCCCACTTAAAATGTTAACACTAATTTTGTAATCTTCAATTTAGTCAGCGTTAACATTTTCCCAACTGTCCCACAGTTTTAAGTGTGTATTTTCAAATCAGGATCAAATAAGTTCCATACGTTGAAATTAGTTGATATATCTCTTAAGTCTCTCTTCATCTAAAGGTCCCCCACCCCTGCTTCAATCATGTCCTTTGTTCTTCAGAGTCTGGATTTTGCTGACTGCATCCCTGTGGTATCACTTAACATATTTCTCTTTTGTTCAGTGTATTTCCTGTCATATGGTAGTTATAGCCAGAGGTTTGCTCAGAGTTGGTTTTGATTTTTTTGGCAAAAGTATTTCAAAGGTCTATCAGGCTTTCATGTCTAGTGGATGTTGATCTCTTTGTAATGTTGGCAACCATGTATGATCATTACTTAGATCCCTTACTTCATTAGGAGTTCATGAAACGATTTATAAACCACTAGGAAGATTCATCAGGATCATTAGATGAGATCCCTTATTTCAGTTGGTGGTATTCTAATTTTAATAGCTTTATCCGCTAAAATACTGCTATGATGAAAACTTCTCATCAGATCTCTGGTTACCCTGAGGTATAGGAAAAGCAAAATAAATTATTTATTTCTGTATTTGTCAGTTTTCAAAATAGCTGGTTCCTTAGCATCATCCAAAGATTTTTGTTTGGTGTCATTATGAACACACAAATTTAAAACAGTTTGCAACTTTTTAATTTATTGCAACTGATGTCCTTCTTTGATTCTCTTACATATATAGCTTGTCTTTGTCCAGTGGGAGCTGACTCAGATTGGCTCCTGGGTCCTTGAAATATGATTCCTATGTTCTTTGATATCTTTCTTGCTAGTATGTCAAGATGTTCTCGGTGCTTCTTGTACCTTTTCTGCCCCAGATCTGGAATTAGCCATTTTTCCAAAGGGCCCTGGCTTATTTTTAGGTGAGCAATGGTATTTAAAGACCACATTCTGCAGTCTCACTTTTATCTATTGTAGTTATTGAGGTTTGACATGAGAGTACCATTGAATAAAAGGTGCTGCTACTTAAACATTTCTTTGAAAGTCATTTGTCTTTGGAAGAAAAAAATTAACAAAGGGTTAATTTGAATACATTAGGAGTTCTTACAAATTAATTAAAAAACACAAATAATGATAAAAATATAAGCAATATATTTTAATAGGCAATTGAGAGAAAAATAAATACAAGTGCACAATAAACACAGAAAAATATTCAACCTTTTAGCTGTCATGGAATTACAAATTAAATCACTAATGAGAAATGAGTTTGCAGCCTTCAGTCTGGCAAAAAAAATTAAATTTGAGAGTTATACTTTAAGGGGTTCCAGAGGTAACAAAAATAGGGATCAAACACTGATATTGGGAACATTAATTAACCCATCTTTTTGGAAAATAAAATTTTTAATATATACCCTTTGACTTGCAATCCCAGTTCTAGGAATCTAGCTTACAGAAATTAAAACCAAAATATTATATACATATATGTGGATTTTGTTGCAGCATTGCTTACAACAAAATTTTAAAAACCATTATTAAGGCACTGATTGAATAAATTATAATACACATTATAATTTTTTTTTTTTTTTTGAGACAGAGTTTCACTCTTGTTGCCCAGGCTGAAGTGCAATGGTGCAATCTTGGCTCACCGCAACCTCCATCTCCTGGGTTCAAGTGATTCTCCTGCCTCAGTTTCCCAAGTAGCTGGGATTACAGGCATGTGCCACCACGCCCCGCTAATTTTGTATTTTTAGTAGAGACGGAGTTTCTCCATGTTGGTCAGGCTGGTCTCAAACTCCCAACCACAAGTGACCTGTCCACCACAGCCTCCCAAAGTGCTGGGATTACAGATGTGAGCCACCACCCCCAGCCCATGTTATACAATTTTATGCAGCTATTTTTTTAATGTTACAAATGCATATCTATCAGTATGTAAAAATACCCACCATATAGTGATAGCTTCAAATTATTACATATAGAAAGATAACACCTATATGTATATATTCATGTGTACACATGATAGATAGGTAGACAGCAAGGCAGACAAACAGGCTTAAAAATAACTCAGAAAAGATGCATGGCAAAATGTTCAAAGTGGGTAGCTTTGGTAGCTGAGATGGGAGCATCATTTTTAATTTTAATGTTTAATTCCATATAATTGCTAATGAAAAGCAATGGTGATATGAAAAGTTTTAATGTTTTCTGTTTTCAATATAATGCCTACCCCCAAAAACAGAAGAAAAAGAATGCCCACTGTGTTGGCATTGGTTGAGACATCATTTATCAAAGAGCTTGACATGTATCAATCAAATCCCTTCTGTCTTTTTTCTTTTTTTGAGACGGAGTTTCACTCTTGTTACCCAGGCTGGAGTGCAATGGCGCGATCTCGGCTCACCGCAGCCTCCGCCTCCTGGGTTCAGGCAATTCTCCTGAGTAGCTGGGATTACAGGCACACGCCACCATGCCCAGCTAATGTTTTTTGTATTTTTAGTAGAGACGGGGTTTCACCATGTTGACCAGGATGGTCTCGATCTCTTGACCTCGTGATCCACCCGCCTCGGCCTCCCAAAGTGCTGGGATTACAGGCTTGAGCCAAATCCCTTCTTTCTAAACCCGTCACAGATGTATATGGGAGAGCATTTGTGCTCAAGAGTAATTGCTACTCACTTCCACCTTGGTATTTGCTCCATTTTATTTCTTAGCTTCTAGGCCCTCAAAGCCTCTGTGATCACAGTAAGATTTTCCTCAAGGCACCTTTTTCCTTGGGCTAAGGTGCCTTTCTGTTCAGGTCTCTGGGAAACTGTTCCCAACAAAAATGTTGCCTTTGACAACTAAGGAAGCTTCAGAGGATGGGATGCTGAGTGCGGCTGCTAACCTGTAAATCTGTATCTCATTTCTGGCTTCCCGGGCTCCATCACTCATCTCCACGGAAATGTCCAATGAGATCTTTACCAAGGCTTTTAGGAAATTGCTAAGAAGAATATAAAATGTAATCGGAAGCATTAGAAGGGCTAGTGACTGGCATTAAGTTTAACGCTCTCCATTGGGTACATAATAGCCTGTCCTAGCTTCCCCTCCAAGTCCCATAAATTTCCTGCTAGACAATGTGAATGTGTGGCCTATCATTCTCCTTGAGCATTTGCAGAGCCTTGATCATCACACATGAGCTTAGCCTGGGCCCACACACCAGGGATCAGGGTCCCACTCTCAGGATAGTGACCTAAATGCTATTTTACAGGGTAAGCCACAGCAGCATTCCTGAATGTTGACACTCCTGCCGATATTTAATCTCTTCCTTCTTGCCATTCCCAGGGCAATAACTTCTCAGATAGTTCTCTTTTGGTATATGATCAGTAGCATTATCTCCTGGCTGGACACTTCTGTTTGAGTCCCAATCCCCCATCTACTTACAAAAGACCAGATAAGATCAGCCATTTGCCCAATGCTATTCCAATTCCTTTTGCAAGACCCCAGCCCTTTTCATCACTTTTTTCTCACCTTGCCTCCAGCCCTTGTGGAAGAGGTGATGAAGTCATTCCTTTGAATGTATGGAGCACCTGCTATAGACAGTTCCAGGTGCTGTCTCTGTCTAAGCTCCTAACTTTTCATCTCATAGAACATTGGGGTGTTTTGGATCTAGAAGGAAACTGTAGATTACCAGCTGGTTCAGCCTCTCTTATTAAACACCTGAGGAAGTAATTAGGAGCCCATGATTTGCAAAGTATCATATTTTAGTGAGAAACCCACTAAAATGTGGTTTTCTAGACGTGGTCTAAGCACACGTTTCACTCCACCATGTAAACTCGACTCCATCTCTAGTCTTTCCTTTTGTTTAAATGTTTTCAGATTTCTTTCACCCATTCAGTTCATTTTCAGCTTGTTTGACCCTCAGTATACCTCCACATTGCCTCTTATAACTAAAGCAAATTTCCAGACTCAATTTATTTTATTTTATTATTATTATTATTTTTTTTTTTTTTCTGAGACAGAGTCTTGCTCTGTTGCACAGGCTGGAGTGGATTGGCGTGATGTCAGCTCACTGCAACCTCCACCTGCCAGGTTCAAGCAGTTTTTATCCTCAGCCTCCCAAGTAGCTGGGATTACAGGCATGCACCACC